ACCATCTTCCAAACCCACTGTGATCATGTCAACCCTCATCTCTAAGCTATGGGCACAGAAATCAAACATTCAGATCACCCTTGGGGGAACTGGGACCCAAGCATGCCACGTTAGGAACACTCCTTGTCATTGTCCCTGCCTCTCTCAGCAGCCCCCTGACAAAGGCTTCCACTTCTGTCTCGGGCATATGCCGTAACTACAGGAAACAGCTTGGGGAACAACACTCAAAGCGTCCCCTTTCAGCTGGGTGTGGTGGCTCGGAGAGAACAGGCAGAAGACAAACTCTGGGGTTTGTCATTCTTTGTTTTCTAGCAATGGAATGTTTTTGCTGGGAGTGATGTGTCTGGTGGGGCTGTGGGGGGAGGAGGGAGGATGCCTCCGCAGGAAGGCTGCCTGCTGACCTCCCTCTGAGCACCCAGAGGTGCAGGGCAGAGAGGGGAGCCGGGTGTAGCCCTGCTGCCGAGCGCTAGGACTTCAGTCCGTCTCCAGCCATCATTCACTATACACCTGCCAGGTACCAGGCACCGGAGAGGAATCAGACCCAGGCCCTGCCTGCATGGCATTCGCATCAAGTGGCTCCAGGACACGCTGCCAGAGAAGGGTTGTGGAGCCCAGGATGCAGCGGGGCTGCGAGGAGAGGGGGTGGGGGTGGCTCTTGGGGTGGGGGAGGCAGCTCATGCCTCACTGTAGTCTGTCCAGATGCTGCCCCCTGTGGGGTCTGGACTAATGCAGTTCCCAGTCACCAGTGCCAGCTCAGGGCCTGGCCTTGCAGGCACTTAGGAAAGCTTGGATGAGTGAATGCATGAAGGAAGGAGGGAAGGAAGGAAGGTAGAAAGGGAGGGAGGTAGGAGGGGAAGGAGGAGGGCAGGAGGGGGGAAGGGAGGAGGAGGGAAGAAGGGAAGGGGAGGGGAGGGGGGAAGGAGGAGGGTGGGGAGGAGGAAGGAGGAGGGGAAGGAGAGTGGGGAGGACAGAGCGGCTGCCCACCCTCGCTCACCGGCAGGTAGCACACACGAAGCAGTCGGGGTGGTAGGTCCTGCCCAGCGCAGACACCACCTCGCCCTCGATGAACTGGTCGCAGCTGAAGCAGCGGGTCCCGTACAGCGTCTGGTAGTCCCGCGTGCAGATGTACTCGCCCTGCCGCACGAAGAAGCCGCCCTCGGCCAGGTCGCAGCCGCATGCTGGGGAGAGCACGCGTGGGGCCACGTTAGCAGGGGTGACCAGCTCCCCCCACGGGCCCCAGGTGGACCCCCCACGTACAGGCCTCCGTTGATTCACTGAACCCCTGGGGGACTGGGCTCCAGGCACAGACTCCAGCTCTGGCCTCTCAGCCTGGAGTGGAGTGGACTTCCTTATGGAAGCTTCTAGAAAGGGGCAAGACCAGGGATGAGAGCTGGGCTGTGCTGAGGGGCCAGCCCAGCGCCCTCGGCTTCTTACCCCGCCAGGGATGAGGCCCCCTCGGCCCCTCCAGGTGGGCTGCTCCCAGCACGGACTATAACAGAGGCAGTTAACACCTGAACGCCAGGCTCTGCTCTGGGTGGGAAGACCCCATGGGGCGGCGGTCGGCCCCCAGACCACAGCGAGGCTTCCCAACACCCCACTGGTCTCCCACCACGTGGACGAGGCCAGACCCCCTGCAAGAGGGAGAGAGGTCGGGCACCACACTGACCCCCAACACACACCTCCTGCCCCAGGGCGGGGCTGAGGGCATTGCTAGGTAGAGAATGGGGCACCTTCCCTCAGGACAGGCCCCAGGGCACAGGGGAGCCAGGCCCAGGCACCCTGGCCGGTCCCTTCCCTCCCTGATGCCGGCCAGTCCCAGATCCTCGTGTGTCACAGCCCCCGAGCCAGAGTTTTGAAAAACCATGGAGCCCACATATGTCTTTGAATCGACACAAAGTTTCATCAAAACCTTAACTGACCGCAGAAGATAGAGTTTCTGTATTGGCATCTTTACGTTTGACTGTCATCTCGTCCTTTTGAGCACCTGCAGTAGGTCCTAGACGCAGAAGCAAGACCACTAGGCGCTGTTTATAAAACCCACAGCCAGGCTCTGAGTAAAGTCAGCATCTCACCGTGTCCCCTTTTCTCCCGGAGAAGCCATTTCCATCTCCCTCCCCACAGAACTGTGTGCAAATACAATGTGTTTCAGAGATCGAAGGTGCCCATCGCGGTCTCTGAAACAAAAATCCCACAGTCAACGTGGAAATTGATTTATTCAGGATTTCTTATGGTCACGAGGCTCCAAATGTTGAATAACTTATTCTGGGCGGGGTTGTTACTACAGTGACTGGTACGAGGCTATCACAGGTTGCGCATGTTGGTAAATGATCATCACACGGACACAGGGAGACTCTTCTGCAGTGCAGGTCTCGAGGACATGGATGGGGTGGGCACGGGGAGTTCCTGGTGTCTGATCAGGGGAGCCCCAGCTTTTGAAGTGTGCCTGGTTTGGTGCCCTGTGAGTCTGGGGGCGAGAGCAGCCGGGCAGCCTCCCTCCACCACTGGTGCCTTCTTAGGCTGGTCAGTTTGGGAGGAGCAGCTGTGGAAGTCTGGAGTCTGGAAACTGAATATCCACAGGGTCTCAGGGTCCTCAGGAGAGGACCGCAGTGGACCCAGTGCCCCGGGACCCCGAGACTCTCTGGAGATTCAGTTTCCAGACTCCTTTCAGCTCATACACCTGTTAGCGCGCAGGACCCGCCCTCCCACCAGCGATCTGGGGACTCCGGGTGGCCCTGCCGGGGAGACCCACTCTGCTCGCTCCCATCCTCACACCGCGGGAGAGGACAGGCTGCTCCTCGGCGTCCCTGTCCCCTCGCCTGGGCCACAGGGCTGCAGTGCCACTCCCCGGTTACAAACACCAGAGTGGGTGGAACTCCTTCATTCCGTGTCTCCAAGGAGCTGTTAGCTCTTCAGACAAGGCTGAAAGCTGAGCAGCCGAGGGCCCAGACGGGGGCTGCCTGCATTGGACGCAGACTCGACCTCATGCCCTGTGCTGTGCGCCCCTCAGCAAGTCCCTTCCCTGTCTGGGCCCCGCGTCCTCCTCTGGACACAGGGTGTGAGAACGGCAGCACAGAGACGTGTCCCCTGAGCTAGCGTGACGTAAGCCTCCAGTTGTGCGGGCCGCCGCCAGGCCGCTGCTGTACGGACGTCAGCCAGCCCGAGAGGCCGGAGGCCAGGGCCCAGTTCTAAGTCCTTCTCCCACCCAGCCTGACAGTGAAGACCCTTTGTTTGATCTCGCACCACAGCCTAGGCCCAGCAGGTGCGCCCGGCTCGGGAAGAGCAGGCTCTCTGGGGCTTCTGCGGGACGACGGCTGCCTTCTTCTGCGAGCGCCGCCTGGAGCACTCGGCCCCGAGTGAGGGGCTGCCTCCGGCTCTCGCTTGGCCCTGGCCTTTGTCTAACTCTCTAATCTTCTTAGAGATTTGACAACATTGACTGTTCCTTGAAGGAGAAAAACGTGAAGATGGACCTAGTGCCCCATGAGAACGTGAGCCTCCATCACAGAGGCACCAGGAGGCAGAATAAAACCAGCCTTCCTGCCCCACAGGCCGGGCCCCGGCCGGTGCCATGTGCTCTGAGTCATCTCTGCTACTGACCAGACTGGAGCCGCCCCGGGTGTGCCGCGACCAGGGCCAGACGGTAAACCAGACCTCCGCCTGCCAAAAAGAGTCCAAATTCTTTAGTAATTTTCAAAGTCCTAATCAAGACAATATACTGTTATTACATTCCATTTGCCTATCAAAGAGACCCATGAAGGCACAGAAGCAGCTGTGGTGACCCCAAGTGGCCCCCCTTCGGCCATCGTTATGATCATTTCTGAGAAACGGTTGGGAGGGGGTGGGCAGTGGTGGGAAGACAGTCAGTCCCACTTTCTGGAATACCATTTGGCCCCAATCAAAGGAATGTGAAAACGGCTCCGACCCTTGGACCCAGCCATCTCTCTCTGAGGCTCTCCCCCAAGGAAGTGGCCGTGACCACCCACAGAAGTTTACTTGCACAATAACATAGGAAATAAACGCTGGGCCTTAGAGACAAGCACCCTGGGTGTGAATCCTCACTCTTGCTGCTTCCCAGCTGTGTGACCTGGGGCAAGTTACTTAACCTCTCTGAACCTCAGAGTCCTCATTTGTAATATAGGGTTAGCCACACTGATCGTGTCACAAGAAATCAGTGAGATGAGGTACAGGATACTGATTAATACTGATTAGCCCAGAGCCGAGCTGGAATCGATGCAAACGTTTATCAGCGGGGGAGTGGCTACGTTTACTGTGGGCCAGGCATCTGAAAGGATCTGGGTAGATACTGAAATTGATGTTGAAGACCCTCTGATGGGGAAAGGGCTTATACAGTCCCTTCAAGTGACTCAGTCAGGACACAAAATGCATGCATACAGCATAACTTCAAAGTAAAAAGCCTCTTACGAAGGAAAAGACCGGGAGGCTCTCTAGCCAAACATGGACAGCACCTCCCTTGGGGTGGGCAGCGGAGGGATGGTCTCCACGCCCTCCCTGCGTGTTTCCGTCCTGGTGTCGAGGAAGAAGAGACTAGGCAGCGTGGTCACTGCCAGCCCAGGTCCTAGCCTAATCTTTGCCTGGGACTCTCCACCTATAAATAACAGCCCTACGTCATCAGAGATTCCTTCCTGCCGCGACTTCCCACAGTTCTGCCACGTGAGCCCGGTTCCTGGCGCGCCCTGCGTGGTCGGGCTGGGCAGAGCCTGTGTCCTGGCCGGGGGACGGGACACCCCTGTCTGGAGCTTTCCTTTGGTCCTGGAAGCCCTTGGTCAGTTTCTCACGAGTGCCCCGGGAGCACAGGTGTTTTGCCCCACTCCCTTGTAACCCCCAGTTGCCCAGACCAGCTCTAGGCATGGCTATTCATGGTCCCCAGATGGATGTGTCCTTGGGGACAACTCCACCCACTGTTACCAAGCTACAGGCAGTCCTGGCGGCCTCTCCCCCGCCGCACACACACACACATGACCTCTCCCCTACCACACACACGTGCGTGCGCACGTACTTCCCTCCCCCTCTTTCCGTCCCTCTTTCCATGATTGTGAACATGCTCAGCCTCGCTGCCACATGGATCAGAAAATGCCTGCTTTCTCCAGGCCACACTTGATTGTGGCCTCATCTTTTCATCATTTTCAGAGTCAGGGCTACGAAAGGTGTCAGTTGGAAACCAATGTTCTAAAGGCACAGAACGCGGCCACACGTAAAAGGTCAAGAGGGCCAGGTTTGTTTTCCTGGGCAAATTTCAAGTTGTTTATAATAATGGTGACAGCTTTCATTTTTTTCTTGAGGACCTACTATGTGCAGGGTGTCTGACATATTTATATCTTACGCGCATTTCCCTTTGTGGTGTGAAGGTAGAGCTGGCGGGACTTCAAGACAACTCAGGAACAAGTTCATACTGTACAGCACAGGGCACTATATTCAATATCTTGTAGTAACTTACGGTGAGAAAGAGTATGAAAACGAACACATGGTCGTTCACGTATGACTGAAGCATGGTGCTTGCACCAGAAATTGATACAATGTTGCAAACTGACTGTACTTCAGTAAAATATATATACACAAAAAAGTTAATGCAAGCTCATTGTAAAAAAATTTGAAAATATGTGTGGAATAAAATAAAATGACCCTTCATTCCAAAAAAAAAGACAGTCCAGGAGCAGACACTCACAGTCTTGTCCAGGCCATCGTCCTGGCCACGGCTCCGAGCCCCTCTCCCCACCCTGCCTGGGCCTCCCCACAGCAGCACAGCACCCAGGGGTCCATGAGACTACAACAGACAGGACTCTCCTGTGTCCTTTCTCCCTTGGTGTCGGAGTCCAGATCCTCACAGGGACCCCCTTCCCACCGACCCCCCCCCCATTCTGCTGTAGACACACAGACCTCCTACTGTCCCAGAACCTGCCAGGCACACTTCCCTGCTTCAGTGTCACTGCACTGGCTGCTCTCTCTGGCTGTGATGCTCTTCCCTCACCTCCTTCAAGTCTTCACCTCCTCCGTGAAGCCTGCCCTGATTATCCATTTTAAAATCGTGACTGCCCGGCACTCCCAACCCCCTCTTCATCTTGCTCCCTTTCTTCCATTTCCTAGCACATCACTGTCAGCAGAGAAGAAAATTTGCTTATTTATTCTACCTAGTGTTTATCATCTGTCTCCCTGCATGAGAACACGGTCTCCAAGGGGTCAAGGATGTCTGTTTTGTTCACGGATGCCTCCCAAGCACCCAGAACACTGCTTGGCACAGGGTAGGGGCCTAATGTGGTTGTTGAATGGAAACTTATGTGATTTCTTTCATAGATTTTCAGGTTAGGTGAATACAGGCATGTCAAACAAGTGCCTGGGTGGCGGGAACCCAAAATACTGGATCAGAATTAGACACAACTGTCTTCTGTGCTAGCAGACCCTGCTCTGCTGGACTAGCAACACACGAATCCAGGGACGAACACGGCTGGTGTCAGTCACATCCTCCCATCCCTCTTTGCTGGTGGGAGTGAATGTGTGACTCCATTCCGACCAGTGAGTCATACAGGAAGTGTGTGGGGGCCTTCAGGGAAAAGGCTCTCCTCCCTGATGGAAGGGAGGTAACCCTGATTACCCAACTGGGGTGACCACGTGAGGGGAGGGTCCCTTTGCCTGTGCCCATCCCTGCCCAAACTCTTCCCCAGGGTTGAGTATTAACCTGTGAGGATGCAATGTTTGGAGCTTTGACAGCCATATTGAGACCATGAGGAGAGGCACTGTTGACATGCACAAGATGGGGGGGCGGCTGGGGGTACAGTGGCAAAATAACCTGAGTCTTCGATGACCTTGTTGAGCTGTTAAATTAGCTGGCTCTAGGGGTGAGGAGGCTACCTCCAGACATCATGCTAAGATGATATATATTCATGTAATTGAACACACTATATGCTGGGTCTTCTTTTTTATTCATCCAAAAGCACCCTCAGTGATTCACAGACTTTGCATTTTTCATGAGAGCCTGGATAAAAGTCAGGCTAAGACGACGCAGTCCTCATGCTTAAAGAAACACAGCGTTTCTGAAGCTTAGCTTCTTTTAGGGAGGAGTCGTAGCTGTCCCTGTCGTCCTTCAGCGGGGGGAGCAGAGACGCCACCCACTGAGGGCAGGCCCCGCTGTGTCTGCAGGCTGCACCTGGCACAGGGCGAGACTCCACGGCCGCATGGGGGCGGGAGGGAGAGTGGGGGGACTTGGAACTGAGCCTGCAGGCCCACAGACCCCTGCCACCTCCACCACTACTGCGGCAACCGCCTCGGGCAGCCACCGAGAACGGAGGGTGAGGCCCAGGGCTGGTCAGCCCTGCCCACCCCACGCTGTCCCGTTTCCCCACCCAGGCTGCTGAGGAAGCGGTGGCCGCCATCCCACGTCTACTCAGAGGCTGAAGCTAAGGACGAGGATCTCCACCAAATCCCGTGCGTCAGGCCAGGCGATGGACTGGATTCTGGGCGTCTAATGCCTTTCACTGAGTTCCTAAGGTCTGTGCTGCCAGACAGTCCTGTTACATACAGTGGCGCTTCCACTTTGTCTTTTAAAATCAGCTTTTAAAAAGAGCAGTCTGATTGATTTGGTTTTTCAGAAACACAGCAAGCGTATCTGTCTGGGGAGGAGAGGAAATGAGACCAGACAGGTCCTGCGAAGCCTGGGAAGCCCTGATGAGCAAAAGAGGGTCCAGCAGGGCCGAGTGGGGTGTCGGGTCACCTCGCCCCAGGAAAGGGCCCCCGGTGCCAATGCAGAACGGGGGTCCTGGAGCCATGTTGGGGCTCCACGTCAGAGGCGAGGACGGCGGCGGTGCTCTTATTTCTGGAAATGCTGAGAACACGCCATTTCCACACCCACCTCCCGCCGGGGTCCCAGCACTCCCACCCCACCCCCACCCCCACCCCCGGGGTCCCCGGGCCGGGCATCGCAGTGGGCTCATTGTCGGTGCTCGTATCTGCTAACCCCAGACTCCTTATTTATCCCTCCCCACCTCCCCCTTTGGTAGCCGTGAGTCTGTTTTCTATGCCTGTGAGTCTGTTTCTGTTTTGTAAGTTCATTTGTGTCATATTTTCGATTCTACTTATAAGTGACATCACATGCTATTTGTCTTTCTCTGTCTGACATAGTCTACTTAGTATGATTGTCTCTAGGTCCATCCACATTGCTGCAAATGGCATTATTTCATTCTTTTTCATGGCCGAGTAATATTCCACTATACATGTACACCACATCTTCCTTATCCATTCTCTCCTCGCCTTTCTTTGGCTGAAATTAGAGCTGAAACACCACCTCCTCTGTGATGCCCTCTCTGGAAGCTCCCACCCTTCCCTGTGGCCCCCTCCCAGCACTTGGTTTCTACCACTAACAGCTGACTTTTCCACCCATGCTGGTAGATTTATCTCCTCACCAAACCTCACCAGTCAAAGGTAAATCTACTGCCTCTGTATTCAGCACTTCCCAAAGCTGGGCCTGGCACACAGTGGGGCCTCCTGAGACCCTTTGTGGGCTCAGGGGACTCAGGAAGTTTAATGGGGCCCCACAGTGTTGCTAAAACCCATGGTGCTCGATTACCTACACATGGTGTATTTCCCAATTTTGCTTATAAAAAGCAGACCCTCACTGCTGCTGGGGCCCAGCCAGACTCGTGTGCGAACCTCTGTGATCTCTGAACAGCCAAGTCAAACCCACGGGGAAGCCGCCTGCGATGACACCGCCCGCTGCCCAGACGTAAGGTGGGTGGGTCTGTAAGGCCACTGACAGAATTCCTTTAAATCTGCAGCCCTTTGGGTTTGGTTACTGTGTCATGTCGGCCTGGTTTGCCCATCCCTTCCCCTAAGTGCTGCTTTTCATATATTTTCAGGAAACCAAGTGCAAATACACAAAACCCAGCTGTGCACAATGGAATCTGTGTGGACCTGAGCCCAGGGAGGACGGGCAGGCTGGAAGGACGCTCACAGCCACGGCCGCCCGCAGAGGTGGACGTCACATGATTGATTTTGTTTTACTTTTTTCTTATCTTTTTAGTATTGTTTGAATTTAGTGTATTATTTACATTACTTTTTATAATCAGAGAAAAAGCCAGTTTTCATTTGGAACGAATGGTAATGCTCTTGGTCCTACTCTGGGAGGGCGGGGGCACCCGAGTATTCATGGCCCAGTTTAGGTTCTGTGTACCCCGAGGCTCTGAGTTCATGCCACCAGCAAGGCTGGCCTTTAACCGTGTGCCTTTGGGGCCCAGGTTGCTCCGACCACTGGACTTGAGTCCTCAGACACTGCTGCAGCCTTCGGAGGACACTCCCTGGGACCTTGTCCTCTGACCTGCCCCACTGGGCGGAGGCCCCCACCACTCCCACAAGGGACGCAGCCACACTGAAAACATCACGCTGTCGTATAAGGCTTTGGGATCTGTGTTTCCAGCCCCCCAGATCTAAGGCGTTTCCAGAGACACTGTGGGGGCCAGATCTCAGCTGGGGGGCAGGCGTGCTGTGGGAGAGGCCGGGGTGCTCACCTTTGCAGACGAAGCACTGCAGGTGGAAGTACTTGTTCTGCACGCGCAGCACCTCCCCCTTGCACACGTTTCCGCATGTGTTACACAGGATCGCCGTGCTGGGCGGCTTCTCCAGGGGCCCGTGAGCAGCCTGGGGCTCCGACACTGCAGGGAAAAGGAGTGAGTTAAACCTGGGACGTGCCGGGCACAGATGAGCGAACCAGCAGTGGTGCGGGGACTCAGGGCCACACTCCCGCCAGGACAGCCCAGAGGGCATCAGGGGACCAGCAGAGGCGGGGTGATGTGAGACCCCCGATGGCGATCCTGACCCCCACCTCTGTGTGCACACCCCCCAAAGGGCAGCCGATTCTCCTGCAACCTGGACCGGCACCACCTTGACCCTCCAGGGCCTTGGAAGCAAGGCACCCCCATGAGCTCAGTCCTTCTGCATCCGGGACCCAGGTCTTCCCTCTGTAAATACAATAACCACACGTCCTCCTGTGTAAC